GTAGTAGTAGTACTGTCATATATATATATATATATATATATATATATATATATATATATATATATATATATATGCCCGTGCAGTGTATATAGCATTATGATAACAAAAAGATGTCTTCTTACAGAAACGAGAGCTTGAGGGGATCTATGACGTCATGGTGTCCATCATCCGTGGTTGGCGGCTCTTCATCCACGCCGTGCGATACTTTGTCCGCGCCATCGCGCTCATGTTTATAATCTGATCTAATGACGTCCACATTTTCTCTAACATTTACGCTGCCGATGTCTACGTTAGCTTCTATTCTGTCAGATTCAGTCTTAGATTCTATTCTGTCAGATTCAGTCTTAGCTTCTATTCTGTCAGATTCAGTCTTAGTTTCGATTCTGTCAGATTCAGTCTTAGATTCTATTCTGTCAGATTCAGTCTTAGTTTCTATACTGTCAGATTCAGTCTTAGTTTCTATTCTGTCAGTTCCAAGCCTTCCAGCGTTAGTTAATTCTATTCTGTCAGTTCCAAGCCTTCCAGCGTTAGTTAATTCTATTCTGTCAGATTTAGTCTTGGCTTCTATTCTGTCAGATTCAGCGTTAGTTAATTCTGTTCTACCAGTTTCGTCGTTAGCTTCTATTCTGTCAGTTCCAACGTTAGTTACTTTTCCATCCGATGTCGCTTCAGCTTTAACATTGCCAGATTCCTGGATATGATCATCTAAGGTGTGACCACCGTCATATTGAGCACTTTCGAGCAGCGTTTCTGCTGTCGTATTCTTCACGCATCGGTAGTTATATGTTCCCGATATCGTCTCTTCGCAAATGAAATTCTTGGCGCATCCCATGGGTTGTCCCCACGCAGGGAATCCTCTGTAGCATTTTTCACCTGGACCCTAGATAAAATCAAAACGTACAACGTTATGTATATAAACGCTTTTAGACGGTCAGTAGTAAAAAAAGGTATAACGTCAAAGGTCAACTTTCAAATTAATCCAGGGCGCATCCGCCAAATCAAATGCACATAAACTGTGTATGTACTCTTGGTCAAATAGATATAGAGAACAAATTGTCCAGCTATTACCTATACTTCCGCTTGAGACGCGGATATCATGATGCGCCTATTTCGCACTGGCGTGCAGCGCGCGACTATTACACTATTATGGTTACACGTGTTACGCACTGTGACCGCTGTAAACTCAGAACAAACTGAAAACGATCTCCTAGCTTTCGCTCGCCAACCTTTCTCTCCCTATTTCACTTACAATTGCTTGCTATCTCACTCTCTTCATCATTTCGCGTTCAACCTTCCCTTATTTTTCCTTCCCCCTCCCTCATCCACTTCCACATCCGTCCCTAGCTTCTTCCTTCCCTCGATCTCTCCTTCTCTCTCCCTACCCCCTCCATCCCTCTCTCCCCCCTCCATCACTCCCTCCCCTACCTCCCCTATTACCCTATCTCAATTCCCTTCTGCATTTTTATTCATTTTCCCCCCCTTCCCCTCTATCCATCCTACCTCCCTTCCCTCTATCCATCCTACTTCCCTTCCTCCATCCCTCCCTTCCTACCTTATCTCCGTTCTCCCACCTCGCTCGCGGACAATCTTTTGCGCCTATATATTCTTCTGATGAATTAAATGTTTCTTTATGTCCCTGGCGCACGTATAACTCGGCGATACGGCTGGACAGGTGTGTGTAGAGCACCGGAATTCTGCGTCAAAACGAGCCAAGCAAGGGCGTAACTACCCGCCCTTCTACCTGCCAGTATAGATTAGGTACGCACGCGTACCTTGGCGCAGACGTCACAGCAGCGGCAAAAATCCTTCGTCAGGCCATAAGGACATTGCTCGGCGTATTTTTCTTCACGGCCTGGCAAGCTACAGACGCTGAACCACGTGACACCTGCCGCCGATCCCCGGGGCAACAAGCACCGACAATCAATGAAGGCCTCCGCCAATGCGACACAACTACAACAACAACAACAACAACAACAACAATAACAAAACTGTACAATCAACATTCAGTGGTTGTTTGCGGAATATCGTTATTTCATCGTTCACCTTTCATCTTTCAACATCGTCTTTTCTAAAGAAAATCCACACTAGCAAACGTTTTGACTATCAAAACAATAGTTTTGATTATACATGCATATACTAATTCGTAGGTTCTTGTTAAATTAGGTGCCCATGACATATGTAGATATTGCAAACGTGAGTAGATCGTATTGTGCGTTATTATAAGTGCAGCCTTGCTTGCTGGATCAATATTATTTACGCATGGTTTATGGTTGAAATCGGTCGATATAGAAAAGACTACGATGCCGTATAATGGTACGCTATTTAATTCAAATTTCTGTCATGTTCTTGACTATTGACGTGTGATCCTCGAGGCATTCCTCCAGAACCACTACAATTTTTTCTAGCACACGTTAACCAATTTTTAAAAATACCGCAATTTATCATTCTTACAGGATTATATTGAGGCACATATCCGATAGCGGCTACTATTGACTGATATTTAAAACACGTTTTAATCGAAGAAAAATATGTGATAACTTACCACAGTACACCGACGAAGGATATAATTCTGCAACGCATATTTTGATCTCTCTTTTTACGCCGATACAACGTCTACTGGCGCTGGATCACCAGATTTGATCTATGACTTCTATGTGTTCTCGTTCGAGACTAAAGACGTGCTGTGCGAGCAATATTTTCTCCCCGAAATGCCGACCAGCCTTCTGGTATTTGCTCATATACGTCCGTCTCTGTGGGTGTTCACGTGTATGTGCGTATGCGCCGTATACGCACGTATGGGTGTACGTGCGTGTATTCGTGGCGCTTGAATGATCATGACTATGTTGTTAAAACACCCACATCTAAAAAAAATCGAACATGGCCTCGTAGCTTTCCGTTCTTGGCACATAAACACCCTCGCATTCTGACGTAAGATCCCATTAGAGACGTCTGCGGTAGCCTGTCACGCACGAACAACTATAGATGCCTCCCCACTCCCCACCTTCATCCCCACCAGCCCAACCTCAGCCCGCCTACATAGATTACTGTTAATTCTGGGTGTTCACTAAATTCCAACCAGTAACGCATTTATGGTCTTGTACGATCTGTCTGTAATGGAACATGAACGGCGCGGAACCGTTGAGGCCGCGCTCACGCTGCCATATAATATCATATATAATATAATTATATATACCTATATATTGTATGGTGTGTGTGTGTGTGTGTGGTGTGCTTGGGTGTGTGTGTGTGTGTGCTGTGTGTGTGTGTGTGTGTGTGTGTGTGTGTGGTGTGTGATGTGTGTGTGTGATTATTTACCGAGCCCAGCAAGAGTAAGGAGGCTGCTGAGACGTATATACCTATTGATACACTACAGGCTTATAGCGGAGAACCATGAGTTAGAGAGGAGTCATGGACGCAGGGTTAGGCGAGAACAATGGTTAGGAGAGCCATGGGTTAGGGAGAGCATGGGTTTAGGGAGAGCATGGGTTAGGGAGAGCAATGGATTAGGGAGAGTCCTGGGTTAGGAGAGCCATGGGCTTAGGGAGAGCATGGGTGAGCGGAGAGCCATGTGTTAAAGGAAAGCCATGGTGTTAGGAGCAGCCATGGGTTGGTAGAAGCAATGGATTAAGGAGAGCCATGGGTTAGCGAGAGCCATGGGTTTAGGTAGAGCCAATGCGATTAAGGAGAGCCATGGCGTTAGGGAGAGCCATGGGCTAGGGAGAGCAATGGGGCTAGGGAGAAAGCATGGCGAGGGAGGAGCCATGTGTTAAGGGAAAGCCATGGGTTAGGGCAGAGCCATGGGTTAGGGCTAGGAGCAGCGATTAAGGAGAGCCATGGGTTAGGGAGAGCCATGGGTTAGGGAGAGCAATGGATTAGGGAGAGCCATGGGTTAGGGAGAGCCATGGGCTAGGGAGAGCAATGGATTAGGGAGAGCCATGGGTTAGGGAGAGCCATGGGTTAGGGAGAGCCATGGGTTAGGGACGGGCTAGTGAGAGCGGTGGGGTTGGAGTACCACTACACGTGCCCATGCGCCCGTCCGTGGCAGGGGACTCAGTTACTGCGTTAATAACAGGGACGGTGGTACAATATTAATATTGTTGCTGAGAATTTTGCCGACAGTCACGCAACCGAATACAACGATACGTCACTACGCGCAATGCGGCATGGAATACTTCGACACAAAACGCGCTTTCTTTGCCCTCTAATTACACATTGTCATCGCTGCGTACAAAGACAATGGCTGGCTAAGTTGGTACGTGCTAGGAAAATCGTCTAGAATACATGACTACTGCGTCTCCCTCTCCCTCTCTCGCTCCTTCTCTCGCTCCTTCTCTCTCACTCTCTCGCTCTCTCTCTCTCTCTCTCTTTCTCTCTCTCTCTCTCTATCTCCGTGGCTGCTTTGGGATGGGCGTGTGTGTTTGGTGTGCGCGTGTCTCTACGTGTGTAAGTGCATGGGCCTGCGTGTGTATGAGAGAGAAAGATAAAGAGAGGAGGTCGAGAAAAAGAAACACAGAGAGAGAGAGAGAGATAGAAACAGACAGAGAAAATGGAGTGGTTGAATGTGGGTGGGTGTGTGTGGGGTGGGTGTGCAGATGGGAGCGTTCGGAAAACAATTCACCGTCGTAGCAAAGGCATACTACGAAATCAATGATTTAATAATTTGCGACCTTCAATAGTTGATATATATTATCTTACTCCTGATAATATGTGCACATAATTACAAATGCTGACGCTCACCATTGTTGGCATTGCTTTGTGTGCAGCACGTCAGTTATTGCTTGCGCTCAATATACATACTCGCACACATGCACGCACGCGCGCGCACACACCAACTTTAAAAAACTTCACAAATTATAAGGGTAATCAACGTTTGTTGAATAAATTGTCGGCTCGTGTTCCTCTGTAGCGTAGGAGAACCATCTATAATACATGACTACTGCGTCTCCCTCTCCCTCTCTCGCTCCCTCTCTCTCAGTCTCTCGCGCTCTCTCTCTCTCTCTCTCTCTCTCTCTCTCTCTCTCATGCTCTGTCTCCGTGCCTGCTTTGGGATGGGCGTGTGTGTTTGGTGCGCGCGTGTCTCTACGTGTGTAAGTGCATGGGCTTGCGTGTGTATGAGAGAGAAAGATAAAGAGAGGAGGTCGAGAGAAACAGACAGAGAGAGAGAGAGATAGAAACAGACAGAGAAAATGGAGTGGTTGAGTGTGGGTGGGTGTGTGTGGGGTGGGTGTGCGGATTGGAGCATTCGGAAAAATATCAATTCACCGTCTTAGCCAAGGCATATTACGAAATCAATGATTTAATAATTTGCGACCATTAATAGGTGAATCTATTATTAATGTTTTAATCATATATTTTATTGTACAATGTTTGGTCCACCGGAAACCAGGGCATAATTGGTGCGTGAGTGCGTGTGCCGATTTTCCAGACAACATTTTCAGTAAGGGTCTGTGTTGCTATGTAAGATATACAATTGATCAAGAATATATTATTGCGATATAAGTGCCGGAATGTCTGATTTGGTGTAATTGGAAGTGATCAAATTAGACATGGTCTAAGACTCGCTTACACCAGAAAGCTCACCACGGTTAATATAGAGATTACGGAGTATTGATACTCTATACATAAGAATCCAAGTGGTTAAAATTAATTTTATCGCAATCACTTTCGTGGGGCAGCTAGGGGGACAGTCCGGGACTTTCTGGCGCTTTGTGAAGACATTGTAAGTTGTTTCTAAGGATGGCGGAATAAGGATACAGATTAAACATTGACTTACTAAAGGGTTTTAAACATTTTAATGACTTTCTCGGCAAAGGGTAACAAAGCGGTTCAACATAGGCCTGAGCAAAGTATACACGATGGAGGTGAAACGTGAAATTATGCCCGAAGTAAATGTGCCGCGTTTCGTAGCTTTAAATTGTTCTACATCGTATTAGCGTAATTATATATAGAATGTCCTTCATAGCTTGTCCTGAACACATCCTTAAGCGCTATGTTGTAATTATTTACCGTGTACTAGAGATTCCCATGTTTATACGTATAGCTATAGGAATATTACGTGTGTTTATATTTTCCCCTTGGAAAAATTCACATCCAAGAGCCATGAAGGCAGTAATTTTTCGATCGCAAAATGCGAAACCCTCTTATTCAGGTGGCTGGATTAAAATGGCTAGGCTACGTGCAACAAAATTGCCAGTCATTTAGTTCTGTAAATGGAAATTAAAGCATTAATAATATGTGAACATAATTACGAATGCTGACGCTCACCATTGTTGGCATTGCCTTGTTAGTCAGGTGGCTTAGCAACAATTTTCAGGATTAACGTTACCGGCCGGACAAAAGTACCAAATTTGGCATGGAGTTTCCTTTCGACCTATCTATTGATTTTATCCGTGGAACCCACTTGATCGGTTCCGATTTTCCAAGATGGCGGCCAAAATCCAAGATGACCGCCAAAAAAAAGAAAATGTCGTATATCTGGCTGTGAAAATCGGAAATGAACAAATGAGGTGACAATTCAGGGGTTTTCGGGGTCACTGAAACAGATGCTGGTCATGGCATTTTGCTCAGGTCACCCATTTCTCACACGTTTCAATATATATGTGTCAGTGTGCGGCAGCGTGCGTGCGGTGTACATGTGTGTTGCAGAGGAGCATTTGCACGGCATTTACAGGAAATTTTCGGCAATAATAGGCAAAAGAGAGTAGAGAAACATTAAGACATTGGTAGTAAATAGATTTCGTATTTATTTAGCATTATATTTTGTTGAAACGCTCCAAGTGCCTGTGCACCAACCGTCTACGTTCAAGTACTGACGTAGTAGCTGTCGTATTCTATAGCCGTTGAACGGGGGGGGGGGGACCACACATGATTCCAGAATCATTCAGTAAATGCGTCAAATTACGGGTCGGTAGCGACACGGCGGTAAAAACGCGCGCATGGATATGTGTGTAATCGTATATTTGCGCTTCTGTCAGCCGCGGACCTGATAGGCAATCCGCTACTTATGCACACATATACGCCTGTTATTTGTAAACGGACTTCGCGGATCAAAATGATTGAGTGCTTGATACAGTTCACTAAGAGTAAACCACGAACTACGCGGCCTCTATTCATAATATAGTGAATGTGTCATTGTAAGTGGCTCCCTGTATGAATCAAAGTTATTACGGGTAACACGCATACACGCATACACGCACGCACACACAAATCCGACTTATAAACGTTGATGCGCATCACGCACGCGTACATACACACACACGCACGCGCACATGCATGCACGCACGCACGCGCATACGCACCTATATATACACGCCATGTACATAGTGACGAAGGATTATAAAAATGATACACGGGAAAATGTTATTGCAACATTTGCATACACGTTGCACCCGATATGAAGAATCTACATCGCTGGCTTATCGTCAAACCCCTATCGAACATACACAGTCTACGGGCATGCCGTGTTTACAAGTTAGTGAGATGCAAAGGTATTCGACACACCGGCCTGCTCGGTATCCTTTCAGGTGCGTGTATACAGACATGTCAAACTCTCTAGGAAAACAAATGGATCTGATTGGAGTTGTGACACCTTATATTGGCTGCATACACATACCCGCGCATACACACACCGGCGCACACACACACTTTTTTTTTTTTAATCCAGTTATCATCGTATTGCACGTGTTCAAATGAATCAATCTACACAATACTGAAGACTTCACACTACAGAACTTACTAACGTGAATATGATTAATGTTGATAATATGTGGCTGTCGCGCTAACACTGCAATCTGAACGTCGTTAAGCGAAGTTATCCTGGGCACATATAATTAAAAATAAAAAGGGTTATATGATGATGGTGCTGAAATGAATTATAATCTTAAATGAAGGTAACCGTTTTTACTGTTAAGATACATCTAAATATGTCGAAGTGTCGACGAGGGTTCCGGGAACCTCTTCTGCTGTCTATTCCAAGTCCTCAGCATTATCGTTTAGCATCCGATAAGCTTATTTTAATGTTTCAGGTGTGTTTTCATCCCAACGTGTAACACGTACTTTCTTTTTTTATTGAGGCGTGGATGCGACACAATGGATCTCTAACATCTCCATCCCCATGAGTGCAACATTTGAATTTACGGGCGAGGTTGCCGGAGCAAACCAAGGCAGCAATTGTGCCGCCTGCATGGGTGCACTGCATTAAAAATGCCATGGATAACAACCCCATGACCAAGTGGATTGCTAATTCCATCGCAAATGAGGACATTGAGTTCGACGTCCAAACGCCGATATACGTAGACGCTATTTGCATTAAATTCTCAGAAGGTAGAATCCATAATGTCAACCTTTATGCTAAAACGCTACTGACGGAGTCCTGGACTCACATTAAACCGTTGATTCTACTTAATAGCACTGGTTTCAGCGTACGACACTACATCGCAAGTCTCGGAATACCATTACCGTTTCGCTACTTCAAGATTTCTATCCTAGACACGTACGCAGCGGAAATGAATATTGGAATCTCGGATATTTACTTTCGGATAAAAGGTAAATCTAGGAACGTTTTCGTGAGAGCTCTACTGAGTACACGACCTGGTCCGTAGTCACCTAGCGGTGACTTCTGCTAGTTCTCGCAAACGAGCCGAAATTCGGTACTAATTCGACTCAAATACCCCTCCTTTTGGTGACTATAGGGATTCCGGAGTCATCGATTGATGTCTATTTTTATTGGTTACTCTCATGTTATCGGGAGGCCCGTTGTCAGAAATAGAAATAGTTATGGCTCTTACACGTCTAAAATATCATAACTTTAAGACTACAGTTCACTTCAAAAGCAATGTCACGATGTCACAACTATTCATGATGTTTTCTGACAACGAGCCCCTGGCAGCCATGCGGAGAGCTATTCTATAGCTACGTCTACACGACGAACCTTAACTCGAGTTAAGCGTCTACACGGGGCCTTAACTCGAGTTAATGTAATACATATCACTTACACACTATGGCTCAGGTACAAACATTGAGCTGTATATAATAACATTTTATTACATTACATTATTACATTTAATTACATTAATAACCTGTCACTATGTACAGCTCAGTGGGTCAAATCCAAATCAGCGCGCATGCCGCATGCCGCCGCACCAAGCGCGCATTCTACGATGCCTGCTCTTTTGTTTTGTTTCTACATCTTCGGAATCGTGTACTGAATCGCCTCCATGAAGTCAGCGAATCTTCGGTTTATGTTTTAATTCTGGTTAAAATGCCGGTCCCGAGTGAAATATTTCCTCCTCCCCCGGTTCATTCTAAGCAGCCTGGAGTTACAAAGACACTACTCTACAACGGCTCCAGATTTCAGGGTCACCAAAAGAGCAAAGGAAATTGTTACGACGTAGAAGTTGTCTTACAGGTAGGCCTATTGCTACACATTGAAATTCGACGATTCGTGTTGCGTCACTTGAAACGCAATGGTGTTGCCCTATATTATACGCTGGCGTATATTATATTATAATAAATTAATACTATTAGTAGTTAAACGCGGTCATCCATTAATGTCCTGTTCAATTAAGCCACCAAACTGGCCTGTCCTGTTGCCAGTGTTGTTGGTTTGTTAGGCCCGTAGGGTCTATGTCTCCCTGCCCTCTGTTTGACCTGGCTCGTTTAGCTATTTCTGACTAACCCTAACCCTAACCATATCAGATAGTTACCAGGCTTAGGGTTAGTCAGAAATAGCTAAACGAGCCAGGTCAAACAGAGGTCAGGGAGACATATAGACCTTATCTGCGTTTGTTAGGGTGGTGATGATGATGGTAGGCCTAAAGTAATGGTCATCATTCATGGTTATGTACCTAAGATCGACCTAGGCCACAAGCTTTGCTAGAAGAGGCTCGTCACTATCCGATCGTAACTAATCGAACCTAATAATCACAAACTGAGGTCATAAGACTCATAACGTATACTTGAAAGGTAAATGTAATGGCTAGATGGGACATTTGATTGAAAAATTTTGTGGTCTAGCACCACATCTACATACCATCATGTATAAGGTATATAGATCGGCTAGTTGGATGATTTCTGTTGAAATAGAAATGGCCTGAAAGTTTTCACAGGTATACGAAAAACATAACTATGGGACCTAACAAATCATGCAGGTTTGATTATGTGACTCTTACCAATGTTCTAAATTAATTCTCGGACTAGGTTCGAACTAAAACCGTTGTTACCAAAGGACCAAGTGCTAACTCTAACTAATATCACTAGGGCTGCTTGATTACAACCAGATATTTTTTAATTATCACATCTTTCTTACCGTTTGTAATCACTAGAAATACATCGATACCTTCTAGTAGGATTCTCTTCAATTCTTTGAAGATCTTTGACTTAGGTTTATTATTTTTGAGTGCAAAAGTGAAATGGTAATTTTGTTTTGTATTAAAGCAGAAATGAAATTAGCTAATATATCCAGGTTCAGTATTTAAAAAGAATTAAAACTAATGATATAGAATACTGAGAAATGTGTAGGTAACTCTATAATTAATGCTCTTCATTTTAACAGCATGTAGATGAGCAGAACTCATATCTCTGCGGCTACCTTAAAATCAAAGGACTCACAGAAGAGTATCCAACATTGACAACATTCTTTGATGGTGAAATAATCAGCAAAAAGTATCCGTTTTTGACTCGCAAGTGGGATGCAGATGAGGATGTTGATCGCAAGCATTGGGTAAGTATCTTCTTAAATTTTTACCTTATTTCTTAAGAGATCACGAGAGATATCTCAAGAGAGACTTGTTGGTTGGTGTGAATAGCTTATTTAAATTGTATACTTTTTTTCTTTTATGACCATAGTTTTGCTGACAGTGTTGTTATAGGTAAATAGGCACTAACGCTAATTTTTCCATTATTTTTGCAGGGGAAGTTCTTGTCATTCTATCAGTATGCAAAAGATTTTAACTCCGATTACTTTAAATATGATGAGTTGAAGAACACTGACTACACGTTCATGAGATGGAAGGTCAGTCTGCAGATTCAGTCGTACCAGTACTGACTTAAAATCATCTCACAGATTTCCTTTCATATTTCGCATGATGGCAAGTGGCAAGACAATATATTGAAACCAGATATTTTTTGTTGGAATTGTTTTGTTTCCATTTCCGGTGTATTTGACACATTAGACTGTGAATTTGTCACGTTACACGTATTTTTGGGTGTAACGAAAATTACTCAAACTTGTGGTAAGGTTTACTAAGCTTGCAGTATTAATGAACCTGTTTTGACTTTTTGCTACAGGAGCATTTTTTGGTGCCAGATCACACAATCAAAGATATTAATGGAGCGTCCTTTGCCGGCTTCTACTACATCTGCTTTCAGAAGTCAACGGCTACTATTGAAGGCTATTATTACCATAGAAACTCTGAATGGTAAGCAGTTAAAAGTGGCTATTGCACCTTAGTTGTAGTTAAGTACACATCTCTTGCGGGGAGATAGTTTGCAAATCAACGAACGACAACCGTTCGTCTTCGTTTGAAGATAACCCAAGCTTTTATTGTAAAACTGCATGGTATGCAATGTAGAATGTGTTAATTTGCTCACTCTCCCTCTTCCTCTCCCCCCTCCCCATTACTCTCTTGTTTGATATCCTTCTTCCTATTGCGAGTGCTTTTAATATTTAGCTATATACAGTCCGACCTCCTTTATCCGGCCATTCGTTATCCGGAAATCTCTATTAACCGGCTGCGATCTTGCAGTGTATGTTCTCTGTTTTTCATTCATTTCCACCTAAAAAACTCGCTCAAAACTCGCGCGATGTACCAACCGTACATGTGTTTGCGTGTGTGCGCGCGTGTGTGTGTTGTCCGCTCGCGTCCGCTATGCCGCCGGTAAAATTTCTGTTTTATTTCATTTTATTTCCATTTCATATAAACCATAAAACACGACAGTTTGTTACAAATAATCATAGCAACGAGTAAATACATTATCACATGCATAAACCCTACTGAACTGCATAGAAATGCTGTGTTTGAGCATAACTCTCATATCTGGCCAAATCCCATATCCGGATGGGTGCCGGTCCCAACGTGGCTGGATAAAGGAGGTCGGACTGTATATATATAAATGTGTATATTTATTTATTCCTACAGGTACCAGTCCTTACAACTTCAGCACGTACGAGAACACAGTGTGCCCATCTACGAATTCCGGTAGCAAGGCTTGACCTTAAGCATCATATACAAAATCTCTTCCCACTGAAAATTCAGATAAATGCAATCATTTGTTATAACAAAAAGCTACCAAGGGGTAGTTGTACAATTCAAAAGTCATGCTGGTTTCACAACTTATTTAAAATTTATCAGCAAAAACCTAATGTATAACCCTGCCATTCATAGTAACCATTTGCCCTTAACCAATTTTTAACTTTTCACCAGCTACTTGCTTTAAAAAATTAATAATAGTGCGTTGCTAGTGGAAGGTAAACTGGAAAGGTACACCGAGTGTGATTTCATTTATAAACTTAAACAGACAAACAGATTTTGAATAGAGCTGGGTACTAGTTTGTATTAATGAAGAGCTTAAATTTTTCGTACATAAAGCTTGGTAGTGATAAGTGGATGAACCATAGAACACATCAACTTAACTATTGCAAAGTGATTAATTAGCCAGCAACACAATTGAGTGTTTATTCTGCCGCCAGGTGTCGCTGAATGTTCATTGGTGGCTGCCGGTGAGAGCGCATTGCATAGTTGACTTGTTTAATACATGTAATACGGTCAGTATGTCTCGCAGACAAATCAATAAACTACATAGTTGCAGTAAGTGAGTAATTTTGGGACCAAACAATTGGTGTCCCCCCCCCCCCTGTGTCTACCTCAACCTTTACTGATGAAAATTGATGGCAAGCATCAGTAACAACGTTTTCATGGTTGATAGTTTCAAGATGGCATACTGTGATATATCTTTGATCTATTGATGTTTTATATTGTAAACGACGTGTTCTAACAATTATTGTCATTATATTTTGTCGTTGCATCTCAAAACTTGTTGATTTAACACGACTGATTGTTCGACAAATCTACATCCGGCGTCCCTGTGAGTAAGCCAATGTCGAAGACTGGGGAATTACATGAGTAAATGTAGGATAGATACGAACTGACCAACTGCTAGGTGTTGGCGTATCGCTCCACGTATTCTTCGATATTATGTGGGTGACCGGTGCGAGGATTCGGTATTGTTGATACTCTACTTGGGCGAATAGTTTGGAGGAGAAATGAGGATGAAGCGTAGAGTCATTTTCTCTGCGCGTGTGTATATATAAATATGTATAAGGTAGTCCAAACTGCACTGCAGCAGTATGGAGCCCCGTTCTCCCACATGCAGCTTGTGTGCTTGTTTGTTACCACTACCCATGTTAGGTAAGGACACGATGAGTACTGTTAAACCGAATGTAAATATCTGGAACGATCGTAGAAATATAGTGAAAGTACATCGTAGAACATTTGTAGGACCTGTATATTGTGTGCATGAGCAATCGATGGATGATTGTGCATGGAGGGCGTGTAAAAATAACGGGGCCGAATGCCGATATAAGCTGTTAATACTATTAGATTGAACTCTATGCTCTACTAAAGGTTTTCATGTTGTAAGAGATGTGTGGTTAGTCGTCTTGGAAGCGCGAACTATAGTTTGCGGTGCCATTAAACAGTAGTTAGTTAGCACATTAACGCGCGACATGAATGTCTACTGTGTAGCTATGAATATTTCTGGTAAATATGGCTCCACGTCAAAGCCCACGTGCCATTGATTAAACCAGCAAAAGATACTGTCTAGAGGATAACGGATTATACAGAGTATACACGCAAAATTGTATAGATTTGTTGTAAAATGTTTTAAAAAAACTACTGTAAAATGTTTTAAAAAAATTCGTCACTTTAGCGTTGACGGTTATACCATTAATCAAATAAATCTGTTCACACAAAAACACTCCGATTGTTGGATGGATTGCTGTTTAAACCTGTAGATAAAATTTTGTATTAATCACCAGTTAACATTATTTATTTGTTATTGCCAGACGTCAGCAGTCTGATGTATTCATAATTCAGTCATCGTCGAGTCCTACGTTTATCGTTATCATCCCTCCCCCTTCCTCATCTACTCTTTCTCCCTGCAATACCCTTTCTCTCTTTCTCACGCGCACACACGCACGCACACATACACGCACACACACACACACACACACACACACACACACACACACACACACACACACACACACGCGCTCTTCCGTTCTGCGCTAAACTGATGT